AAAAAACAGAAGTGAAGACCATGTCACCTTTGAAGGACATCAAAGAAAGAAGCCATTATTCTGAAAACCTGAAAGCAAAGAGGAGTCTGTACATATCTTGCTTTTTCTATGTGACTCTACCTTAGCAAGACTAAATAAGAGAAGAGGGAAAGCTTCTCTCTGTTGAAGTATGTCAGCTGACAGATGAAGACAGAAACAGAGAGGACCTTATCATTTGACAAACTCTACTGGGCCAGGCATCTAATCAGCGATGACCTCACTCAACAACATCACAGGAAGTGAGGAAATCAGACACAGGAGACCCTAATGGGGCATAAACCACCACCTAGGAAATAACTCTTGTTCCAAACTCTAAAATCGCAATCTGAACACATCTCTAGTTCCAGTCTATACTAGTCTGTAGGCAGCACGGGGGCAAAGGACATGTTCAAGGACCATAGAAATACAATCAGCAAGATCCAGATTGTGGGAAACAACAGGGCTAGTAATCTACCAAATGCAAGGACAAATGAAGACATGTTGCAGTGTAGAGGGCTACAGACTGTAAAAACTTAAAAACGGACTCACCAGCCAGGCGTGGTAGTACACGCCTTTAATCCCAGCACTCGGGAGGCAGAGGCAGGCAGATCTCTGTGAGTTCAAGGCCAGCCTGGTCTACATAGTGAGTTCTAGGACAGCTGGGGCTACAGGGAGACCCTGTCTCAAAAAGACCCAAAAAAAAAAAAAAAAAAAAAAAAAAAAAAAAAAAAACATGGACTCACCAGGGCCAAGGGATGGCTCAGTGGGTAAAAGCACTTGGGTGGGGGTGAAATGATTCAAATGTGATTCAACCTCATTCCTTATGAAATAAGAAGGAACAAAGAGAAAACTTCCAGAATAAAGAAGAGCAACAGGTCCTAAGCACTAAGTAACTTATGAACAGTGCTTTAGAAAGCGCTGCAAGATACCCTGTAACAATAATCCTAGGCTGTAGGCTGTGTGGGTTAGTTTTTATCAACTTGACATAAACTAGAGCCACCTGAGGGACTCTCAACACAAGATTTGCTGAGATCAGATGGCCTGTGGCCATGTCTGTGAGGCATTTTCTTAATTGCCAGTTGATGCAGGAGGGCCTAGGCCCCTCTGGGCAGCATCATTCCTAGGCAGATGGGTCTGGGTTTTCTTAGAAAAGTAGCTGAGCAAGTCAGGGGAAGCAAGCCAGCAAGCAGCATTCTGCACGCTCTGCTTCAGTCCCTGCCTCCAGGTTCTTGCCTTGAGTTCCTGCCTTGGCTTCCCTCGGAGATGGATTGTCACCTGTAAGCCAAATAAATTCTTTCCTCCCTGAGTTGGTTTTGGTCAGTGCTTTCTCACAGCAACAGAGAGTAAGTAGGACCCAGGCTATGCTATCAGTTCTTAACAAAGTGGAAACTAAGTCTTTTTTAAAAAATGATTTACTTTTATTTTATGCGTATTACTGTATTGGCTGCATGTATGTAAGTACACCTGTGTCGTACACTGCTCACAGAGGCCAGAAGAGGGTGTCAGATCTCCTGGAACTGGAGTTAAAGAATGGTTGCTAGTTGTCATGTGTGTGTTGGGAACGGAACCTGGGTCCTCTGCAAAGGCAACCAGTGCTCTTACCTACTGCGCCATCTCTCCAGCCCTGGAAACTAAGCCTTAAAGAGGCTTAGTAACTTCCAAATCATTATCTTGCTATTAAGCAGTAGAACTGGAAATCACACTATAAAATACCAGCTCAGTACATTGTGCCAGGCCACCTCTCAAAGCACAGGAACAAGAATAGGAAAGAAGGAGCTGGAAGCTGGGTAAGACCAGCAGACATCCAGGGTACAAGGTTTAAGGAGGCACTTACTCTCAGTGCTCATCCTGCATTTGGAAGACTATGAGAGTCAGTGCTTCCTTAAATTTTATACCTGGGTGCCTCAGTTATGTACTTTAGTTCCCACTCTGTGCAGAGTTTGCCTTCTCAGAATCTTCTGTACAGAGGCTGGGAAGTCAAACGACTGGAGTAGAAAGCAGCAAAGATCTGTATTACACTTGCTGTTCTCTGGAGGGGGGGCTCTGTGTTCACCTGGTCAAAGAATGAGCGAACAGGTAGGTGGCAAGCTCTCATTCTATGTAGCATTCTAAGCAATGATGAATTCTAAGTTAGCTCTAGGAAAAGCGCTCCCACCTTCAGATGTGGAATTGGAATAGGGAAGCCAGCTAGCCAAGTTTGGGGCAGTGGTGGGTGCGGCGAGTCCTTGGATTGACTCCAGCCCCAATCCAAGTGGATAGAATTCTGTCTAGTACAAGACTATTTATACAGTTGTTCCTGAGCACACCTATTGCTGCTAAGATCATGGCTTTCTCTGTACCTGGTTGGGTGCCTGTCGCCCAGTAGGATTTTAACAAATGGGGTGTCATCAATCACCTAGAAGAGACTTAGCTTCTGAAGGAAGATTGGGGACCGAAGGATAAAAAACATGCATGGACTGAAGGGTGTTTTTCAGTGGGAGAGCCCAAGCTTAGTATGTAGGAGGTCATAGGTTCAATCCCCAGCACAAAAAATACAAAACAAAATATAACAAACTAAACCATGTAAGAGTTTGCAACTACCACCTTCTACAGTGAAGAAACATAACTCCAAATGAGATTTTTGAAATGGGACCAGTATGAATGGGATGGATGTGTCCTCTGTGTAGAGGACCACAGACCATGAACAAGCAAGGGACTGGCTGCCCAGCTCTGGCAAACGCCCCCTTCCTTCTGCATTCAAAGGGAGGGCGGGGTACACATCACAAATTCTCCAACCATTTGTATTTCTAGGTGTCCATGACCCCAAATGCGACTAGATATCCTCTGATTTTTCTAGAACCCTGCTATGACTAACATAGGTATTCATTTTTGGTTTAGGCTGGCTGAGGGGCTCTTTCTACCCGTCAATACTGCAGTGGACCAAGGCATTTATCCAGATAGCCTGCAAATGTTCACGTGCTGCAGCCTGAAGAAACAAAAGACGGTAATTATCAAAAGTCAGAGCTTCTTCCTTGAAACTGTTTCAGCAACAATAAAACCCCAATGCAAATGCTCACTGAGAGGACTTGAGGAGTGATTCCTGACATCAAGTCTCTGCCCTTGAATGCCAAAGAGCCTTACGTGGAATAGACGGTGATGCCGGCCCGCTCCTCGATCTTCACACTCCCGTCACTGGGAACCGGTGGGTTGCTTTGAAACTGGTTCGGAATTCGGAACCAGACTTTCAGTTTCTTCTGTAGGGAGCCATCCTCATTGGGGAACACGGCAAAGGAGATCGGGACTGTCATTCCCATCCCAATTCCTGAAGATATCGAAACACAGTGAAGCAGGCATAAACAAACAAACAAACAAATAAATAAATAATAAATAAGTGGCTTTTAAAAGTGTGTAAACCGGGTGCTGGGCGTGGTGGTGCACCCCTTTAAACCCAGCACTCAGGAGGCAGAGGCAGGTGGATCTCTGTGAGACTGCAGTCAGCCTGGTCTGCATAATGAGTTCCAGGCTGGCTGGGGCTACAAGGAGACCCTGTCTCAAAAAGACACACACACACACACACACACACACACACACACACAATTCTTCTTAACTGCCCACTGGCCAACATATTTTCCAAAGCCTGATTACTTTGCTCCTAGAAAAATATTATTATGCTTTGCTAGAGAGATGGCAACAGTTAAGAGTGTATTCTGCTCTTCCAGAGGACCAGGGTTTGGTTCCCAGCACCCAGTTGGGCAGCTTGCAATTGTCTGTAATGCTAGTTTTAGGGGATCTGATGCCATATCTGCCCTCCATAGACATTGCACCGTAGGGATTGCATACACGTGGTGCATATACAAACACTCAGGCACACACACACACATTAAATAAATAAATCTTTTAAAAAAGTTATTATGGTTAATACCAGTTCCTCTCTATCTTTCTAAACTGTCGTCATGAAAAATAACCTAAAAGTTAAACCCTTCTCTATTTTCATTTAGCTCTAAAACCCATACTTAGTTTGCAGTGATTTTACAGGGTTGCCCAAGTCAGAGAACATCTTAAGAGTCCAGCATTTTAAAATGTGGCTTACGTTCCCTCAGGCATGCCTTAAATGAAACTTCAGTCCTGCCATTTCAGAAATGGGGGAGGCAGCCAGCATGAGCTGCCATGTCTTAAAGAGTGGGACGGCCTATGAGCTCAGAGATCTCAGTTACTGCTTCACTCATGGCCCAGTGGGCCTCAGGAATCAGCAGAATCTGAGGGCTGACTGGGATTTCCAGTCTGGTGGAGGAAGTCTCCGGTTAGATAGTAACTGTGCCTGGTGCTGGCCTTGTCTTACTGTAAGTGTGCCTCACTCATTCAACCAATCCGAAGACACGGTGAACACTGACGGGTTGAAAAAAACAGAGTGAGCATCTAACTCCTACTTGGAAAGAACCATAGACCGAGTGATATAGAATGGGTACCCCTCATCTGAGGGCAGGCTGGGCTGATCAGAGAGATCTCCCCCAGAGCATCCTATGATAACCCCCCTGTCCGTGTAGAACAGGAAGTCTAAGTGACAGTAAACCAGGTGAGTCACAGGTGCCTATAGCCTCTTCCTTCTGTTTTCACTGATGAAGTGAGACCACACAGGGTTTGTGTCTGAGCAGAGCCGTGTCCCTCTGGGACGCTCACCTTTGTCATTGGTGCCGCCCACATACTTCATGATCTTGGGCATGGCTTCCCGTAGAGCCTCGTCCACATGCTTGTCTGTCACTTCCACAGTGGCAAACTTCCCTCCTTCACAGGCTCTTTCCTCATAGGAGACTTCTTCCTAGAGATGTGGGAGACACAGTGAGTGAGAGAAACAGGGGCATGAACCAGTAAGAAACTCTCTGCACTCAGTATGATGATGGTGCAGAAGATTAGAGGGCAGGATGGTATGTGCCTGTAACCCAGCGCTTGGGAGGTGGAGGCAGGAGACTCAGAAGTTCAAGGTCATCCTCAGCTACAAGACAAGTTGGAGGCCAGAAAAATAAAATAAAGAACAACAGTACAATTTTATAACTGATATTCTCAGGGAGGTAAGAGAAGCTATTGCACCTCAGGATACTGGAAATATGCTACAAAAATGAAACGGTAAGAGATCCAAAACCTTGGAAATTAAGTGAAAAGATCAGGTAACAGGTATTGAGAGAGTCTGTAGAAAACTTAGAAAATAATGTTGCTGGGACTATGTCAGAAGGTCCAATAAAGAAATAAAAAATAGATTATCAGGGGAATTATCACAGAAATAAACAAGGGTGGCACATGCCTGTAATCCTAGCCCTTGGGAGGTGAAGGCAGGAAGATTAGGAGTTCTAGGCCAGCTTTCTTTGTTTCAAAAAGCAAAACAATGACAAGCCCCCCCAACCAAAAAATAACAATAACAAAAGGTCCCCCATAAAACAAACAAACAAACAAACAAACAAACATATTATGAAAAAAGAAACCAGAGGACCACATATATTGGTAAGGAAAAGAACGTAGGGAAAGAGGGACCTTTCACACTGCTGACGGGAATGCAAAGTGGTTCAGCCACTACAGAAACCAGTAGGGAGAGTCCTTAAAAAACTAGACAGTGGGGTGTGATAGTGCACACCTTTAGGAGGTAGAGGCAGGTGATTTCTGTGAGTTTAGTCTGGTCTACACAGCAAGTTCCAGGCCAGTAGAAACCCTATTTCAAACACAGTGAGACCCTATCTCAAACAAACAAACAAACAAACAAACAAACAAACACAATAATAAAACCCTTACATGTGGCCCAGTTATATACTGCTGGGTACGTGCTTGAAGTAGCCTATATAAGCATACTGCAAAGACACTGCACATCCATGTTTACTGCTGTACTATTTACAGTCACCAAAACAAGGAACCAGCCTAGATGCCTATCATAGAGGAATGGACAAAGAAAACATGGTGTAGACAATGGAATTTTATCCAGCTACAAAGAGGAGTGAAATAATGTCACCTGGAGGAAAATGAATGGAATTGAAGGTCATCATATTAAATGAAATAATCCAGACTCAGAAAGACAAATACCTCATTTTCTCTCAGATGCAGCATCCAAAAGTAGATATCTAAGCATAGATACACATGTATAGAACATGGGTGTAAAAGGAGAGCCATAAGCAAGGAGGAAGGGGTCTAAAGGGAACAAGGGGTTGGGGGGAAGATGGGATATCATTTTCTCTCATGGAGAATCCAGGTTTCTCTCTCCTCCTCCTTCTCCTCTCCCTTCTTCCCTCCCCAAGAAAACTGAACGGGATGTATTTGTGGAAAGGCAGGAGACCAGTAAAAAGGAAGGCAGTAGGGGGGCAAATAAGAGCAAAGGGCAGTGATGGAAATTTCTTGACAAAGCCCATTGTTTTCTATACTAATTTAAAAGATGAATCAAAGAGGGCCGGCTGCAGGATGTATCATTAGGTGAGGTCACTTACCATGAAGGCTGACTACCTGAGTTCTATTCCCAGGAACTATGTGGTGGAAGGAGAGAACTGGCTCCTGCAAGTTGTCCTCTGAACCCCCGACATGTGCCATCACAGCTTCTCTTCCACACAAATCTGCCCTCCATTCACCTCTGTTCTTTGTACCCAGTCTTTGTCCTTTGGTCACTACCCTTACCCTGGCGTTTAGACTCAAAACAAACCCACTGCTCTGGCCTCCTCCCCCAGCCCTGCATGTGACATCTTCCTATGATATAATTTGTGTTCCTGGGCATTCAGGAAGGCAGTGTTTCTCTAACTTTATTTACATTTGTGTTTGCTTCTCAAACTTCTAAAAAAGAAATTAACCCATAAAAGAAAAATATTTCTATATCACATCTTATCATGACTATAGAAATGGTTGAAACAAATTTCTACAAAAATAACACTTCATGCTGAAGGATAGGATACAGGCCAGCTCTTTCTATTCTGTCTTCTTGTACTCTTGTGAGTGAATTTTATTCTATTGTACTAAAAGAAAAATTAGTCTCTCTTGATTTTGCTGTCTGATAATGGAACCTTTTTGCAGTTGAAGAACAAGGTCTTTGTGGACAAGAACTAAATCTCACAGTTTCACATGATGCAAACTCAATAGGCATTTATTTGATTAAGGACTATCTCTCCTACTAATAATATGAAAATGAAATACAGCACTGAGGACCTTGCTCCCCCAGGTTCATCAAATAGGTTTTTCTGTAACATTCTAGACTGAAGAATCTTAACTAGGGAGGATAGTTTGACTCCCAGGCAAAACATAGTGAATTTCTGGAGAGCTGTGGGGCTGTATATAGTCTGTATAGTCTAAACAAGTATATTTAATACTCTAACTTCATACTTGGAATGTGAAAATGTCTTGATTTTGTGCTGCAGAATTGAAGGAGAGTAAGAAGGAGGCTGACAAAATTTTAAAGCAAACTCCAAGTGTCAATTGCACGTTTAAACTCCCCTTCAGAGGCTGGGGATACAGTTTGGTTGGTAGAATGGTTCCCTAGCATGAGCAAAGCCCTGGTTTCCATCCTACCACTGAATAACCAGCTGTGGTGCATGACTATAATTTCAGTACTGGGGAGGTAGAGGCAGGAGGATCAGAAGTTGGCTTTTGAGGACAGCCTGGCCTATATGATACCTGTCTCAAAAATAAATGTTTCTCAGCTGGGCATAGTGGCGCCTTTAGTCCCAGCACTTGGAAGGCAGAGGCAGGCAGATCTCCGTGAGTTCGAGGCCAGCCTGGTCTATGTAGTGAGTTCCAGGCTAGCTGGTGCTACAGGAAGACCCTGTCTCAAAACGACCAAAAAAAAAAAAAAAAAAAAAAAAAAAAAAAAGAAAAGAAAAGAAAAAGAAAAAGAAAAAAAGTTTCTCATGTTCTGACAGTTAATGGCAGTTGGGGAGGAGGTGTCACTTTCTTCAGGGACATAGTCACTGACAAGCTGCTCAAGCTCTACCCTACTATTTAAACTTAGTGTGTCACATACATCAAAAACACAAGAAAGCAGGAAGAGGATGTGTTAGGAAGTTTCAGAGGGAGAAGGCTGGGGGATGAGGCAAGGTAACAGGGGTGGAAAGGATTAAAATTCATTATATATAAGTATGAAACTATCAAAGAAAAACAAACAGATAAACAAAATCCCTTTTCTATGGATAGAAGAATTGTACCAAACCAAGAATCAAGGGGCAGCTAAGCAGCTCTAGGTCTTTGCATCTAGCAATGTCAAGGATGGCCATGAAGCCTTCCACCTGGTGACACTGACCTTTCGAAACAGCCTTTCATAGCAAACTGGGTGTTCTGCTTTATCCAGCTCTGTCCCAGCAGAACATTCTAGAATGTCCCCTTTATTTGTAACCTCATTGATCTTGCTACTTGTAATGTTTTAAGTTCCAGAAACTCAACTGTATGAATCACAGAGTTTGAGAACTGCAAGCAGTTTAAAGTTCACCTAACCTAACTAAATTTACCCAAGAGGAAATGAAGATCCGGAAAGACTGGATTGCCCAAGATGACCCAGCTACTCAAGGGAGAAACTGGAACTATAATTCCAGTCCCTGAACTCACTGTGAAGCTTGTTGCAAGACTCCACAGCTGTGGGGAGAACTGAGCATCCTACTTCTCTTTCTCCAGTATGTTAGTTATTTGGGGCAGACATTTGTACGTTAGTGATAAACTTGGAAGAAAGCACCCAGAAATTATTTCAGGCAGTTAATTTCTTTAGCAAATGGGGACGGTAATGACAAGAACTTACTGGAAAGAGCTGAATGGTTGGTTGGCCTTTCTTTCCTATTTCTACATAATGAACAGCTCCTGAGTATCTGCCATGTTCTGAGAATTTTCCAGGTACTACAATATAGAAAGACCTGTCTTCTTTTATGTTTTTATTTTTATTTTATGTGTATGAGTGTATTACCTGCATGTAGGTAGGTGCACCTGTATCATGCAGTGCTTGTGAAGGTCAGAAAAGGGCGTCAGCTCCACTGGAACTGGAGTTATGGACAGTTGTTAGCCACCATGTGGGTGCTGGGAATTGAACCTGGGTCCTTTGTAAGAGCATACAGTGCTCTTAACCACTGAGCCATCTTTCCAGTCTCAAGACCTGGTTTCTTTCTCTGTGTATGTGTGCGTGTGTACATGTGTGCGTGTGTGTGTAGGTCAGAGGACAGTTTCAGATGTCGTTTTTTTTCAGGAGCTGTCCACCTTGGCTTTTTTTTTTTTTTTTTTTTGAGGTAGCACCTCTCATTGGCCTGGAACCCACCAAGCATGCAAGACAGGCTGACTAGTGAATCCCAAGGGTCTTACTGTTTCTGCCTCTCCAGTGTTGGCATTACACACACATGCGCTATGTGGCCCAACTTTTTGGTTTTTTTTTTTTTTTTTAACTTTTAAAAAAACTTTATTGAGAATTTCATACATGCATATGTTTTGATCAAATCCATGCCCACTTCCTCCCTCCAATGCCTCCCATATCTCCTCATCACTTTTTTCTGACAACTTTGTGTACTCCTTCCTCTCTCTTTCTTTTCTTTCTTTCTTTCTTTCCCCTCCCTCCCTCTCCTTCCTTCCTTCCTTCCTTCCTTCCTTCCTTCTTTCCTTCCTTTTCTTTCTTAATGGGGCTTTTTGTTACTCTAACATTACCCCTCTGAAGAGGTATCCCTAAAATCTTTTAGGGCTTAGATAAGAACTCCCAAATACTTTTGATATTTTTAGCCTTTGGAACAGAGTATATTGCTAAGAGGTCCAAGGACATTTTGACTTTTAGCCAAGACACTGGCTATTTATCTTTGGGGTCTTTTTTACCCTAACTGCCTAGCCAATTCCTAC